AAAAACCTCGCAATCAACATGCAAGCCAATAGTCAGGCACTTTTCCTCCGCAAATATATTTCTATAAAAACTTTTTCAATTAAATAAAACACCATCAAAATCCATCAAAGTGACTTTGTATTTGTAGTTTTACGGAAAATTTGCGAAGTCATTTTACAATGAGAGGGGGATTTAAGTTCTAACTAAATGACCATAATCGATTATAAAGTTGGGGGACACACTAATAGTAGTATTGTGGTAGGTACGGATTACAATAACGGTACAAAACTTAATGTCGCGACATAAAGCCTGTTGCGAATTGTCCACATAATCGTCATAGCGAAAATTTGGACAACCAACTATTATTCGGTCGGACCTATTGCGACTTTTCCCCAACGACTCGCTGTCACCTCGGTACTTACTTCCCCTAATAAAAATTTATTTACGTTGCACAAAGTACAAAGGCCATAGGCCCTTTTTAGTCCGGCGTAGGGTGGTCACATACGTGCGCACCAGGAGGGGGGGCCTTGTGTGTGTATGTTCAACCATCGATTTCGAAGAAGGCGTGTAACCCCCCTCCCCCCCCCAGGCAACGCACGGAATACCGCCCAGACCTGCATTTACGCAGCACTCGGACCATAGGGTCGAGGGCAATGCCATTAGGGTCGTACTTGGTTGTTGGCGAAATTCCTTTGACAGTATTACCGATACCGGTTTATCGTATCAATTAAAAAATAATAGACTTGAATAACCGATAAGATAAGAGATACACTCTGCATGGACGAAAAAAGTATAGCATATTTGATGGGAAAAGCGTAATTTCGTTCATATCGTTTATAAGGTTTTACACGTTTCCGTTACACTGTTAACAGCTGGCATCTGATATATAATTGAAAACGCCTACTTCCTCCTTCCTTTTAATTTACTATTGCTCTCTCTGTACCGTTATTTTTGCATTTTTCTTCAGCGAACCACATAGCCTTAAAATCACGCGACAAAAAGAGGGCAACAAAATTGACTTCACCGATAAGTTTCAGTACATTTAAATACAGGCATGGTGATGAGTTCAGGTCC